AACAAACAGCAGCAACAACATTATAGGGGAGATATGATTTGCAGAGTTGCCACATTACATTATTTGATATGTCCAGTTTCTACAAGAATTATAAAATGCATAAAGAATCAGCAAAGTGTGCTCCATACACAAAAAAGGATAATAGAACTTATTTCTAAGAAAGGTCATATCTTGGACTTACTGAACAGAGACTTTAAGTCAGCCCTTTGAAATATGTTCAAAAAAACCAAAGAAAATCCTGTCTAAAGAATTGAAATATGAGAACAATACCTCACAAAATAAAGCACCTCATTACAGAAATATAAATTATGTGTATTTTAAAAAGCAAATAGAAATTCTGGATTTGGAAAATACAATGATTATAAAAATTTCACTAGAAGGACGTCACAGCAGATGTGAACTGACTGAAGAATCAGGGAACATGAAGAAAAGTTAACTGAGATTTTCTGAGGAACATGAAGAAAAAAGAATGAATGAAGAATGACAAAAAATGAGCAGAGACACAAAGACCTGTAGGGCACCATCCGTCATACCAACCTATGTACAACAATACTTCCAAAATGAGAGGAGAAGAGAGAGGGTCAGAAAGGGTATTTGAAAAAATAATATCCAAAAACTTCCCTAATTTGATGAAACACTTTGATTTTTTTTAGTAGTTTTGCCTTTTTTTAAATTATGTTATGTTAGTCACCATAGAGTTTGATTTTTTTATCCAAGAACCTCAATAAATTTCAAGTAGGATAAACTCAAAGAGATCTACACTGGGCTACATTATAGTCAAACTGTTGAAAGTCAAACATAAAGAATGATTGTTGAAAGCAGCAAGAGAAAAGTAACATATTACATATGATGTGCTGAAAGCAATAGATGGCCAGCCAAGAATTCTATATCCAGCACAACTGTCCTTTAAAAAAGGGAGAAATTAAGATATTTTTGGATAAACAAAACCAGATAATTTGTTAATAGCACACCTGCCCTGCAAGAAACACTAAAGGAAGTCCTTGAGGCTGGAATGGAAGTACACAAGATAGTAAGTCAAATCCATATACAGAAAGCAACAACAGCAAAAACCTAACACCAGTAAAGGTAACCACAGATAAATATAATAGAAGTCTACATATGTTTTCTGTGTGTAACTTTTTTCCTCTCCTTGCTAATTTATGAGATGCTGCTAAAGCAGTACTTCGATGGCAATTTACACCTGTTAAACACTATGTTTATAAAGAGGAAAGATTTCAAATCAATAACCTAACTTTCTGCCTAGACAAGTTAGAATATGAAAAGAGCAAACTAAACCCAAAGCTGAAGAAAAGGAAATAATAAGGATTAAAGTGGAAAAAACATAAAGAGAAAAACAATAAAAAAATAATCAATAAAACCAAAAGTTTGTTTAGAAAGATCAACATGATTGAAAACCTTTAACACTGTTAAAAAAAACCACAGAACACTCAGATTACTAATATCATTAATGAAACAGAGTACTTTACTATCGATCTTAATATAAAATGGATTATAAAGGAATACTATAAACAGTTAGATAATCTAGATAATCTAGATGTAATAATACTAATACAAGTTCTGATACAAAGCTACCAGAACTCTGATCCATTCCTGGTGGGAATATGAAATGTTATAGCCACTCTGGAAAATGGTTTGGTAGTTTCTTACAAAGTTAAATATATACTTACCATATGACTCAGTAGTCCTACTCTAGATAAATTGAAAAATTGTGTTCATGTAAAAACCCATACACCTGTGCTTATAGGTAGCTCTTGTACTTGCCAAATACTATACATAACCGAAAAGCACTTCAGTGAGTGAATGAATAACAAACTCTGGTACCTTTATATAATGGAATATTAATCAACAATAGAGAAGAATGAATCGGTGATTCATACAACTTGGGTAAAACTTAAAGGCCTTATGCTGAATCAAAGAAGCCATTGTCATGTTATTGCCATATTACTGAAAAGACACGGCTATAGAAATGGATAGTAGCTCAGTGGTTGCCAGAAATTATGGCTGGGAGGAGGCGTGGATATGAAAGGATAGCATGGGGAGTTTTTTGAAATAGAATTCTTCTGTACTGTGATTATGGTAGTAGTTACATGAATCTATAGAAGAGCATTAGATTTCATAGAACTGTATACCAAAAGGAAAAAGAAAGTCAATTTCATTGTGATAATTTAAGAATAAAATATAATAAAGTAGTATTATAAGATTATATTAGAGAGAGGAAGCATAAATCACTCAATCAGGAAGCTTGGAGATGGAGAAAAAAAGCTTTTGTTGCTTAAACTATGCCATAGGAAATGAAAATACAGAAATATGATGAATGGTGTCATTAAACAGAGAAACTAAATAATTGAGGCCCCAGATTAGCTTCATAGGCTTGAATTCTCCAGGTTTCTTCTCATATAAAAGGTAATGAGCAATTGTCAAACAGCTACTTTGGTTATTGCATTATTGATATAACCAAAATCAGACCCAACTATGTCTAAGAATCCATCTACATATAAAATCTAGATTATTATATATGTTATATACATACATATATATACATATATGCATGTATATATACATATATATGTATTTTTTTCTAAGTACTCAGAAGTCAGGGGCTTCTGTATTTTACATTTTTTACAATTGTGTAGGCATAGGTATCCTTCTTGAAGCCATAAAAAATTTAAATGTTGAAAACTTCTTTAGGTATAATAGAAATACCTAGTTTTAGTTATAAAGAACAGATGCCCCTGTAAACGTTTTCACTTAATAGACTGAAACCTCGTTTTTCAGTATGTACTTTTGGATATCATAGTTAGCAAGCAGAATGCTAAACTACTGACAGATGCACTATTTGGAAAGTACCAGGTGTAAATAATTTTTAAAACCATCTATTTATTATAAATACAGTTTCAAATGTTCATGTCAACTTTAATATGAATCTAGAGGTATTATTCTCTAAGAGATACAGGGGTTGAATTGAAATGGAACACATTATTTAACCAATAAGTTATATGGCAAGTGAAGTAGAATGATAAATTCTCACTTTAACCTTGGCTCTTATATTATATTATAATATATAATATATATATATATTTGAATCTGTTTTATGGCAGACACATCATCCAGAATAATGCATATGTGTATGTAAAACATTTGGGTTAAGATAATTCTTTTTCCATTTATTTTTTCCCATTGCACCCAGAGATTATTATAGGGTATATATAAGAGAAAACAAGAAATGACTTTTTGGCCTCAGATCTATAATCTTCAAATTTCTCTTTAGATTCTCCTTAGAAATTTGCTTTGTAACCCTGAGTGGAGGCATTTGATGTGTCACCATTTTCATTGTTCTGAACTGTTTGTATCTCAGCAGGAATAATGACATGAATAGTTTGACTGTTGAGATGTGAAATCAAGAGTGAATACTTGTCAAGGCTTTTTCAGCAAAATTAAATGTTGCTAATTTAAAATGGGTCAGAGTAATATTTTTCTGTAGTTTGTTCATTCCACAATTTAAATTTAGATCATTTGATGTACATTTTTACAATTGGTTCATTTCTGGATCATTAAACCTTATCCCATTAAATAATATTTATTAAGCTTCCGCATGTTTGTAGATCCAGAATGACTGCTATATGATATCAGTTAAGGAAATAGCATACACTGGTCTTTAAAAACAAAAAACAAAAAACAAAACACCAATACGTAGCTCTTCAGCCAAACAAACACTTTTATGTGTCTAATGAACACAAATAGAGCATTTCTTCATTACTCGCATCCTTTTGACTAACTTCTCCCTGCCATTTCTAATTCTAAAAATCTATATGGATTTTAAAGGCACTTTTGAATCATTAACAAAGACATTTTATTGCACATTAACTTTTTATGATATACTGTAGTGTAGATCAATTGTGTTCAGATTTATTTCAATGTGAGGAAGATGTGGAACTTAAAGTTGGAAGTTGTATTATTTACATAAAGGAGATATAGAGGTAAGATTTGGAAAGGAACCAATCATGAAGGAAAGGGAGTAAGATAGAAACAAGGCAAACTAAAAGAGAGATTACATGGTTTTATGCTAACTCCCACACAGAGTGATATGCTGTATTTGAGACCCATTGACCCAGTTCTTAGTTAAAAGTTCTTTTGGTTAACAAAAGAGTATATTATTCTAGTCAAAGTTTTTGTTACTCTTGTTTTGTTTTTTGTTATGTTAAATCTATTTTCTTCACAAGTTATGTAACTCATTAGTTACATACAGGTTACACGCAAACTCAGGTTTGTTACTCATTAGTCATCAAATGGTACACAAAAAAGGAAATTTGGTGATGTTAACTAACTTAGTTTTGTTCGTCTTTGGCTGTGAAATGTGGTAGAGAAGATTGGAACTAATATCTAAATGTAGCTTTCCTACATCTTTTATTTAGCCATATTTATTCTGTCCTCTCTTAAGAGCAAAGTTAAAAATGTATTTTTCTAATGAATTCAGTGACTGAAAGTTAAGTATTTACTTAACTTTCCTTAGTTTCTTACAGAAAACTTGAGGATATTCCTCAAATTGATTATTTGGGTATTTTATATATCCCTAATAAAATAAATTTATAAGGAGCTCTTATTCTTCATGTAGGAAGATGAAATTAACTTACCTATTAATGGGATCTTATGTATACTCATTTACCCATTTGTTTCTAAATGCTTCCGAAAGGTTTACTGTCTTTACCTTAAACATCCTACTCTCTAAAATTAGTTTTTATCTTTTTAGCTCTTCACTGCACACCAAATCAAAGATGTCTGTTGGATCTTCTTCCTGCAGAAAATTAAGAGAGGAGATGTTGACCTTAGGGTGACAAGTTTATGGTTTCCAAAACTGGGAGCTACTTCGCAACTCTGTGTCCCAGTCTTACTGTATTTAAACATTCTTTGACATTTCAGATGGCTGTTAAACTTGAATTATATATAAGCATAGCTCATTGCCTGAAATTATTTCTTTCTAGGTAAACAAGATTATAAAAAAACCAAACCTATTTTACGAGCAACCAAATTAAAAGCAGAAGCAAAGAAAACAGCAATAGGGATAAAGGTACCTGTATTTGGTAACTTTAAAATTTGATATATGCATGCCATTTCATTTTCTAAAGCTGAATTGCATAAATGTTGAATGCTAAATGTTTTATGACATTTCAAAATCAAAGTCAATGCCAGAATTGAAGGTTTTTAAAGGAATTTACTTAATGGGAAACATCATTCTGATCAGGTCTTAAAATAAAACACAATGTCACATAAGAAAACCAGTTATACAGAAAGTTGCAATTTATTTTTTCCTCTAGCTACCGTGTATATTGTTCAAATATTTCAGTGATTTGTGTGGCCTGAATAAAAAACTTCTTTTAATTTCAATAAATTTAATTTTATGGTTATTGAAATTTTAGTTATAATTATATATACTTAGATCATTAATATATGTAATTTTACTCTGTGTATTATTATTGTTGTCAGTACTGTGATGAAATTCTAATGATGTCCCCAAACTTGTTCTTTTAGAAAACCAGTGTTTTAACTGCTTAAGAGGGATAAATGCATCTGAGAATGATGTTAGCAGATATTAATCCAATGTGCTAGCACAATGAAGTTCAACAAAATTACGTTTACATTATTACTCATGTCAATTTTTTGCCAAGTATTTAGAGGTGAATCAAACTATAAATACAAAAATTAACTTGATGGTTCTACTGTCAAATGTGTAAAATTAAAGTGACTAGTATATACTTTATTTAAATATTAAAATGTTAAAAGGAGATTTTGGTTTTTATCTGGCAGATGAAAAATCAATTTTTCTAAGTTATAGCTTATAGCAAATGCCAAGGTATTACTACTAGGCTGTAACAGCTGTTGAACTGCCAGATGATATATTTGGTTGTCTTCCAGAATTTGCTATTATGATCACGAAACACTGCCTTCTTTTTACTCTTGATTGCTGATTTTGATCAAGCATTGCTGTGTGATACGGTATGTTTTCACAACACAATCCCCTCAGTTAGTGCTGTGTGTCAGTTTTTAATGAAAAAAAAAGTAAATTGCCTTTTTTTGAAAAGAGAGATGATTAATCTTTTGAAGTTTTCTTCTAATTTCACATGAAATTTTATTCATCTTTAAAATTATTTCCATGACATGATATTTCTAAAAGCATTAGTTAGGGTTTTTTTTCTTTCTTTATTGTACAGTTAGTTACCTGGTGATTGTCTCTTATAGTGAGAGCATTATTTGTAATTTTCCACCAAGGCACTATGTCACTCACTTTTATCTCTCTGTTTTGGTTTTGGGTTTTTTTTTTTTAAAGAAAGATATTGGGGTAGCAAAATCCACTTGTGGCACAATATAATGAACAGCTATAAATCAGAATTTGAGAAATGGTGCAGCCATTCATTTATTAATATATATACATTCTCTTTATTTGCTCTTATAATTTTTGTTATTATTTTAATTTGAGGAAATGACTAGTATCAGATAAATCTACCTTATAATGCAATTATCTAATATCATTTTATAAACAATGCAGAATTTGCTTATTTTTTTGAGAAAAAAGTTTTTCTTAGATTTAATTTATGATTTAATGCATGTACAGAAGAATTTCTAACGACATCTGAACATAGCTCCTTTTTAATAAGCTAACATATCATTTTGATTTGTAAACCTGTGGAAAACAAAAACCTTAACTTTAAGCATTGGTCACTTTGCTTGAAAAATTATATGAAGAGCCCATTAAAATGATATGAAACTTTTTAGAATCAGAACCATGGAGGTGTTTTACATTTCAAATCTGGCATACTAATTAGTTTGCTCTGTCAAACTTTGATTGCCTTGTCATTTTAGCATAGGATTTTAAATAACGAAGTTTCTTTCAGCAATTGCCATTTAATGCTGTTTAATTTCCCCAGTGAGTGATTTTATCCATATTGATAATGTCAGAGAAGCAACTAAGGACTAATGAACATCAAACATGTTTGACTCTTATCTAGTTGATATAGGATGACCATAATATTATAGTATTTTATCATTTTACTGCTTATTTTTAAAATGAATCATAGTTATGCTCTTAAAATAATTTAAATCTATAGAAAATATGAACAGCTGCATGGAATAGAGAAATGCCAGCCATGACAACACTGAACACGGAAGAAAGAGGCCTAGGAACACATTCCTCTTGCCTCTTCCTGTTGTCATGATCTAGCTAAGTCTAACCTGACATATTTGCAAAAGCGATTATGCCATTACCTCACAGGGTTGTCAGAAGAGTTAAATAATACCACAAAAACAGTTAACATTGAACCCAGGACATCAAATTCACTTATGAATTGTTAGCTGATTGAGAAAATATTTCTTTGAATTAGCCATTGCTGGTTTGTACAAATAAGACTTCCTTGGTTATTTGTCAGTGGCCTTAAGATCCCCCACCTCAACTCAGGCTGCATTGTGTTATTATATTGCATATTATAAAATGTTCTTAGTTTTGCTGTGGAGATACTGATATTGCTGTTGTAAAGTTTTCAAAGTATTACATGACTTTAATATACTTCATATATATGTTATCTAAATCTTATTCAATCCTTCATTTTTTGTTTAGAAATGCTGTAAGTATTACAATGTTGTAGAACCTATAGAAAGAAAGATGACCAAGACAGGATCATCTGGGAGGAATTTATACAAGAAATAACTTCCAGATTTCATTACCACATAAAATCAAATCAACAGTATTGACTGAGAGATCTAGGACTGGAGATGTGTAAGGAATACACAATACAGTCTTTATGCTCAAAGACTTTTAGTGCCTTTTTGTAAACATATGTTTAGTAATTGAAAATGTTTTGGGAGAACAGTAATGATTCAGAATAAGATGTGAATATTATTGTGTCAAAATCTAGAATTAATTTCTGTTTAGAAGCTATTTTATTTCCTGTGTCTTACCAATGTAAACAAAATGTTGTAATTTTTGATCCAGTAATGAGTGCTACCTAAAACATATTAGCACAATTAAGATTTTCTATTTGGTTGCTGTTCAGTTAGATTATTTTTTAAGAATTACAACTTCATTAAAAATTTTTTAGAATGTAAATACCCATATTTCCTAGTATTTAGAAGAAAAAAGATAATTCATATTTGTTAATTAATTAGTTCATTTGAAAGGTTTATTTGAAAGGTGTAATCTAATAAAAGAATAAGTATCAAAAATTTAATTTATCTGTTACATAAATAAAATCTTCAAGTGTCAACCAGATCCTGCGAACAACCTCTTGGGATGAGACATCTGGAAACGTTATTTCTTCTTTTTTTGTGATTTCAGATGTAAAACTAAAAATGGCCAGGGGGTGGGGGGTCATAAATGCCTACAGGTCTCTAAGTTATGGTTAGTGTCACCAGTATCCTGCAAGCAATATTTTCAAATGTTATCGTTGTTTAACCTCTATACATTCAGTCCCCACAACAGTATGGGGCATTTTTTTTTTTAAATGATGCTATTCCTTCCCATTTAATACTCTTTAACCCTACCCCCTCCACCATATATTCAGTAGACTTCATTGAATTAATGGATCCTCTGGAGTTGTATTCTATGAAGGTTCTTGGCTTCTTACCCTTAAAGCCCATTTTCAGGCCTCTGGATAGCCTGAAAATATATCGTGAAGATGATAGTTTTTTGAAGGGACAAGGAGCAGTTGAAAAGCAGCAGTTAGAGGTGATTATCAAATGAGATGTGGATGATGGCCTCCAATCAAGAGTAAAAACTTTATTCTTGCTTTCAGCTTGCATGAATGGTGACTGCTGTTAAACAGTTTTGTTGTCCACTATACAGAACAGATGGAGTTTGCAGTTGTGTGTCACTTGTTTATTACATCCTCTTAAAATTAGTAGCTGTGTAACCAGATGGGTCTGGGAGCACAGCTGTGGATATAGGAATATAAATGAAACCTGTCTGATGCTGCCATGCCCTTTTGAGATGCTGAAGTGTTCCAACTGCAACAAAGAAAAATTCACTTTCATTTGACATTATATTGATGTATTAGATTAAAATAGTTGACACCGAGTCTATCAACCCCCTGATTTTTATCAATATTTATTTTCATAGCTTGGAAATCTAAATAAATGTAAATTTGAAGGTGATATCTGTATAAAGTGCCCATTTGTAATTTCAACATCCAGGTAAAAATTTCATGTCGATTATAAACCAAATTCATTTTAATGTTTTTAAAGTTTATTAGGTAGCATATGTTGAATTAGTAATTTTACATTCTGATGAAATGTAAAATATATTCATGTAAATGCAAATAACTTGCTTCTCCATAAAACAATGCTGGGAATGGGTGTGATACACAATTGAAAATTAGAAAGGCATATTAGGCTCTTTAGGATATGGAACTGGCACCAGTTGCTCTTTTTTGATCTTTTTAGCCAAATGCTATGTTAATATCGAGAATATTCCTTAATGGTATGTGTGTAAGTCTGTGTGTGTTGTATACTGCACACTCTATATTTCATATAAATATGAAGTTTATGGACTTCTTAAGAGATAGTAGGATTTTTGCCATAATATATGTAGTAAATTTTTGGCTACTATTTTAACATAATTAATATAACCCACATCAAATCACCAAATGAAATATTCAGAATCACCCTTCACAGTTCTGATAAATTATACTGTATCTTGCTTCGTGAACTAAGAGTCTTCAGTTTTGTCCCCCCACGTTATAAACTATGGAATTTAGAGTTTAAATTTAGTTTCAACAAAATAATATTTAATAAAGATTTACAGAGACATAATTTAGAAACTGGCTATAATAGCAGTTTCTTCCTATTAGAAAAAGAAAGATACATGTTTTAAAATCATGTCCTAAAGCTGAAACTAATAACAAATTAATTGAAGCAACAAATAAAGTTAAAGATACTCAAATAGAGAAGAGAGAAACTGTGTTGGCACAAACTACACTGCTTGCACCCAACATCTTGATATTCAAACTATGCAAATATATCAAAATTATAAAGTTTAATTTTACTATTAGAAAAGCACAAATTACATAGGAATAATAATAGAAATGAGTCACCCACTGATGTACTTGTCATTGCAGTTGGTATTGTCAAGTACAAAATAAGTTACTTTACTAAATGACAAGAAGTGTTAAACAAAAAGAATGTGATTAATTAGGTTCAAATTATTATTCTAGATGATGGAATTATATCGCTATTTTCTCTGATGAAATTCATAACATTAACCAATCTCTTTTCATCAATTTCAAACCTACTTTTTTTTTTTTTCCCTCCTCAGGAAGTTGGCCTCGTACTTGCAGCTATATTGGCCCTCCTACTGGCTTTCTATGCTTTCTTTTATCTCAGACTGTCCACAGATGTTGACCCTGATCTGGAAGGAGATGAAGATTAGCTGAACGGCAATCAATGCATTAAAGGGAAATAATTTTACAAAAGCACCCCTTGGGACCAATACTTTCTAAAGTACTGAAACTGGAACATCTTGAATCCTTTCTGCTGGTATTTTCAGTTTTCAGAAATATCTTTTTAAATAGTTGCATAGGATATCAAGAAAAGAACCTTACCTAGCAATGGAGTATAATGTATGCTACCGGATACTTTTATAAATCTTTTTACTTTGACAAGCAACCTATTCATGGTGCGTTTAGATTAAATGGAAAACAGATCCTAAATTCTTCTTGTGTCTTAGCCAATTTATGTGTATAACTCCATCACCTACAGATTACTAAATGTATTTTTGTTCCATATACGTCGTAAGTAAAAGTATATATCCTCATTTACAGAAACATTCTCAAATCACATTTAGAGCCTAAGAAGCAAGGAAAAGTCATGGGAAATTTTTCATTTTACAAAGAAGCCCTGCTTTCTTTCCAGACATATTTTATATCATTAGAGAGACTATCTGCCATACATCTACAGTAATCTTTTTCCTTCTTTGCCAACTGTTCAGTGCACATGTGCTCCATCAGAAATGGCACCTGGATGACAGAAGCTCAAGAGTCACATATGTCTGTAAAATAGAGTTCCTTTCCTCTTGGGCTGTCTGAACTGGTGTAAATAGAAAGTTCAGTTGATCTTGATTTTAATTAACTTATTATTGTATTAATATAAACTTGGAATTCTATTTTAATTATGTTGTTCTGGCTGCTTGCAGTATCAGTTTGCCCTTCTTGTTAGGGAGATATGCAACAATCTGTCGTTTAGTTGTGCAGGTTTTTTTTTTTTTTTTCACACAACAGTAACGGAAGTCCTACCTACTCAGAATAATTTTCTTGGGTTGTCTCTTAAACCTAAACAATACAAAGTTGGTTTACAAAATTACATTTTGTCTCTTGAGAGTTAATCAGAACTGTTTTGTGAAAAATAAATAATAGAAAATATATGTCTCATATTACTCACATATGTAATTTTTTTGTTTACATAAATTTTCAAGATATTTTGAATTTGTTGGAGTATAACAATCAATATATTCAATATTTTTACCAGTAATGGATTTTTTAAAAATATTTTTAGAACACATGAATACATAAAGCTTAGAAAATGAGAAAATATGTGTCCACAGCAGAGTTGTTAGTTACTACCTTATATAAAGATGTATAAAAAATTAATGGTTAGAACCATGTGCACAAAGTGTTTTATATCATATACATTGTATTTATGAAGAGCAAATAAAATGTTAAGATTGTTTCCATATTTGCCCAGAGAAGAAAGCTTTGATGAATACACTCGATATTGAGACTTTTGCAAATAGTTGAATATGACTGTGTAGCATTATGTTCTGTAGAATTTTTTCAAGTAGCATAATTTATTTCATCAATGTGAAAACAGCCCAAAGTTCCAGTATCCTCACAGATCATTTATGCCAAACATCTGAGGGCAAAATTTAGCCAGTGTTATTTACTGGATTCTACCCCTTGAAATCACAAACTCATGAGACAGACCAAGAGTTCTTATACACTCACCACAGCAGACCAATCCAAGTGGCATTTTTAGGAAAGGTTGCAGCATTTAATGCCATGTGGTATGTCTGTTCGTGAAGTGGGTGGCAAGGGAATATCCAAGCTGGCATTTTGGATATGATGGGCCTTTTCCTTTCCTGAGTGACATGCCACATGTCAAGAAATACTGCTTTTCCCCCACTCCTACCACATTTACGTGAACAATTTTCATTTAGTTATTTTACCTCCCATATGGTGTTAAAAAGTCATATTAAATAAAGATTATTTCTAATTTCAGTAGTAATTTAAATGAGAAGATATGTAATAATTGTTTATTAGATACCTATCCAAGTGAAATACAACAGAATTTACAGTATTTAAAATAGATGAGTGGGGCGCCCGGGTGGCTCAGTCGTTAAGCATCTGCCTTCGGCCCAGGTCATGATCCCGGGGTCCTGGGATCGAGCCCCACATGAGGCTCCCTGCTCAGCGGGAAGCCTGCTTCTCCCTCTCCCCTACTTGTGTTCCCTCTCTCGCTGTGTTTCTGTCAAATAAAATATTAAAAAAAAAAATAGATGAGTATACTCTTGGAAATGTCTGAAATTCATTACCCTGAAAAAAAAGTGTTACTCTTCCCTTCTGTTCTTGAGGTGTTCTCTTGAGGGAAAAAGGTTGTTTCTGATAGTAATAAGTATTAATCTATACATAGTATAATTATAGGCTAGTTTGGGTACCTCGTTTTCTTGATATCCTGAGACTCTGGCTAGTCCATTTGTGTAATTGACTTATGACAGCTCCAGAGAACCATAAGTCCCAAAGGCTCAAATCTGATTTTAATAAATAGCAGGTAAACTGAGACAATATATGTTTATACAACACTGTTTTCATGAAATGTAAATTTTTCAAACTCACATTAACTGGGAAGGGGCCTGTAGAGAAATCCCAGATTAAAATCTGGTTTGAATCTTTGAAGATAGAAAGGTGATATCTGGCCTACATTTTCAGCAGACCACACTTCTGAATAGTGAGTGGTGTTTGGCATAAATCTAAGACTGGCACCAGACACAAATTTTAGGCGTGGGTTTTTCTCCTCCAATAATTCACTGCTCAGAGTAATTCAGGAGACAAAAACAGAAAAATTATAATGACTTTTCAGAATGTTAGAATCTATTTGCTAACATACTCTGCAGGATAAATTTTAGCTAATGCAGCAGACTTTACATATAGCCTATGGAATACTGTGAATGAAGCTTGAAGAGTTGCTTGTTCTTATTTTGCATGCAAAATAAACATTTATAGATTCATTTGAGAGGAGATATTGTAAAAATATAACCTCATCCAGGATTTCTTTTAAAACAAATGAACAAAAAGCCTATCATAGTACAGTATAGAGTTTGCTGTTTTAAGGTGGCAAATACTTGAAGATTTTCCATCTTTTCAATTTTTCTGAAATACTTTTACCCCAACCAATGATTGCAAGATCCTGAAAATATGTTCTTATTCATTTCTGTAATTCCAGTAGTGTAGTGATCTGCACATATTTAATAAATGCTTGTCAAAATTTAAGTTAATTTCTTTTAGTGCTCTTAGAGTCTTGGTACAGTTGCTGCATGTAAGAGATTATCAAAAATTATTTGCATTTAATAAATAAAACTTAGAAATCACTATATTGATTAACTCAGCATTTAACATTTATGATCATTGAATGTTCTGGGACAAATATGTTTCATCCTGTTCCTGTTTAAGGTCAAAACAACTAGTGTTAAATTTGCTTAGAACAGAAACATTGATTGCTCTTTTCTAGGAAATCAAATATGTTATTTTTATCTTAGTATTGTTGAAAACTACCCTCAGTGTTTTTAATTTAACTTATTATATATCCTCACTCCCAACAAAAATAAAACTAAATTTTCATTATAATGGTTATATTTATGTGAATACTAAAGCACTATATTTTCCAGATTCTAAAATGATATAGTCAATGATAATTCAGTAAATTATGATTTATTTAGATGAGCTTCAGAAATAAAACTTCTAGAAATTAAACTTAGAGAATTTTCATATATTCCATCCATAATGTAAGGTTGTTGAGCCAGAGCCTATCTAAGATAAGTACACTTACCTTGGACTTCTCTGGGGAGATTTCTACCATTTCTCCCTTAGCGGCACTGCCTTCTTTTATTAGAATTGCTCCAATGCAGCCTGGATAGAATGGTGTTTGCTAGATTTTGTTCCACTGACATCATATCTAGAATCAGTGCAACCCACAGTAAAAAAAAAAAAAAAAAAAAAGAAACCTAACATGAATTCAGTGCCAACAGAAACATTCTTACTATTTTATTTTGTATTTTAGCAATGCAGGTAAATATGAAGGGAACTGGGAGAGTCACTCAAAGAACTATACCAGTGTGGAAATATCCATAGTGGGCCAGTAAATTCATTTAAAACAATTGAACTGCTGCCCTATTCAGCATAGTGCCTCATTCTTAAATAATTTTTTTATCCTTAGCAACAGACATGAGATCCTTATTTCAAGAAAAATAAGATACTTTACATGCCAGAAGATTTTTTGATGACAGTACCCCCTCCTATTCTTCATTTTTTAAAACAACAACCAAATTGGTGGGGAGGCAGCCAAAATTTGAGGTACCAATGCCTCTCGAACAGATGTCGCACCATTATTTTTTAGCTCGTTTAGATGAATAAACATGTTAAACTGTGAAGTATTACATTTTAGATTTTTTCATTAAAAAAAGAGACAATCTGTTTACTGTCCTAATTGAGACAACAATCCTTGTGGTTGCCAGTTTTGGCAGTCATAACAATGAACTATAAATATTTGAACCAACCAAGTAAATGGTGACTATAAAGGCTATAGCATGTGTAAAGTTCTGTTTTCATGGGCACCCATCTTAGTATGCCTTTTTTTATTTCCTGACTTCTTCAAATACAATCGTATAAATCTGAAGGTTCATGGTAAGCCTAAAAGAAATTGATTTCAATATCTAATTTCGTTCAAATTTATTATCCTTTTTAGCGTTCAACTATCCATCTGCTTGTAACAAATTGCTTCTGCAGTTGCTCCACTGAAGGTCACAAGGCAGGTCTTCATTGCGTTGCGTTCTCTGTACCTTCTAGGGTAACACAAAAAATCAGAGATTTTTTTTCTGTTTTCATATTTATAAAGTGAGGTTAAAGACATTGTAAGTCTCTTAAATTGCAGCAATTAGTTTTGTAAGAGAAGGTTTTATAAATAAACCATGTTGAGATAGAACTCTGGCTGTAATGTCCATGAGAAGGAGGTCACAGTTTTAGCTGCAGTGGGATGCTTTGCATGAAGTGCTGGCATGTGAGAAGTTTGTAGATCAAAGAGAAATAATCCAGACACATACAATCATTTATTACGCTAGTTCCCAAACATTGGTGATCCAGATAGCGAGCGCCCTTGTAGGCATCTTATTTAAGTACCATTGCTCCCTTTTCTACCCTTCACCTTTTCCACTATCTGCCCTAATTCTATACTCTAGGCAATCTCTAACATTTCCTTTCTCAGTTTGTCTGAACCTCACTTGTACGTTAAGTCGCATTTAACTATGTACTTACCGTATTAACTGCCTCTACTTTTTTTTACTTAGAATCAAGACTGTTTTTCCCACTCTCACTCCTTACCCCTTTTTTTTAACACTGACCACATGCATTACACAAAACTAGAGAGAAGAATGAACCTCAGTATACCCATCACCTAGAGTCAACAATTACCAATATTTTGCCACTCTTTTGTTTCCCTCATTTTTTTTTTTTTTTGTAACTTGAGGTATTTTAAAGCAAACGTCAAATAAGGTGACACTTTACCTACAAATATCTCAGTATACATCTCTGACAAGAACTTTCGTTTTTTGTTTGTTATTTGTTGTTTTTTTTTCTTGCATTACCAGGAAGCTATTATTACAGCTAATAGGATTAGTATTTCTTCAAATCATTTCATACCAAGTCCATATTAGAATGTCCCTAATTGTCTTCAAGATACCTGTTTATAATAGGTTTGGATCAAGATCTGTACTGCATTTGATTGTAAGCATCTTAAATTTCTTTTATTCTATAGCAAATCTCGTTTTCTTTAATGCCACTGATTTGTTGAAGAAACCACAATATTTGTCCTCTTGAATGTCCAATATTCTAGACTTGACTATTTTCATTTTGTTATTTATTTTATACCTCTATTTTTCATATTTTCTGTAAATTAGGAGTTGGATCTTAGGCTAGATTAGATCCAGATAGTTTTGTTATTGTTATTTGTTTGTTTTTAAGGCAATAGTATGTCATAGTACTTAATGAGACACATTATCTCTGGTTGTCTCATTTATGATGATGCTGAAATTTACCAGTGGATTCATGTGCTAGTAACCTGATTCCCTCCAAAATAAGGTTTATATCAACATTTTGCCTAAAGCTTTTAGCATCTGTTTATAATTATTCCCTAGGTCTATTATCTCATTTGATGATTTTTTGACATTACAAAATGACAATTTTTTAAACGTTTTACTTATTTTTTTTTCAAGAGAGAGTGAGAGAGCATGTGCACAAATGAGATGGAGGGGTGGGGCAGAAGGAGAGGGAGAGAGAGAATCCTAAGCAGACTCCATGCCCAGCACAGAGCTTGCCCTGGGGCTCGATCTCAGGACCCCGAGATCATGACCTGAGTCGAAATCAAGAGTTGGACACTTAACTGACTAAACCACCCAGGCGCCCCAGAATGACAATTTTCGATCATTCCTTCAGCATTTAAGTGAAATTATTGAAAAAAAAAAAAACCCCAAAAACAAAAATAAGAAACTTAATCAACTATTTGGTTACCTTAAAATATGGCTCATAACAGGAAAGGAAGGATAAATTCTTGAATCTTTGCCTTTATCAAATTTCAATGGAGATTTGCCATTGCTATTCCTGTTGTAGTTTTTATCACTATAAAGCCATAGATTTTACATATGTGATGTGTGTTTCAACCCAATGCAATCATCATTCTTTTCAATACTGAAATACAAATTCCATTATCATGCTTTATATTAGAGGTATTTTCATTAAAATCATGAAATTTTTATGCTTTTATATGATTTTACATTTTTCCAAAAGTAATAGCCAATGGAATCAGATTTTTAAAATAATAGGAGTAAGTGGTAAATGTGGAAAAAGACTAATATTTGCAGATTATACGATTAACTGGAAAACTAATAAGATATTGAGTAAGATTTATATAACATGGTCCATTAGAAATTAACTGTGAAAATTAATGGCTCTATCTAATAATTACAATAGTTAGCTAAATATCATAAAAATATTTATTACAATCACAATCAAAATTATGAATTGTCTAGAAAAAAATCAGCAAGAATTATGAAGAGTCTTCATTGGAAAAAAGACCTTGCAGGGTAAGATAATCAAACTTTAATAAAAAGAGACCAACTGTCTCCCTGGATGAGATGATTCAATACTGTACAAATTTAAACTTTCTTCTAAATTGGAAACAGAAAAGAGAACCTTAATCCACCAGATATTAAAGTGTATTATAAAGTTATAATAATTAAAATAATCTCATAGTCAAGGAAAGTAGACAAAACAATAAAATGTGCCATCTGGAAATAGATCAAAATATAAATATTCACTTAATGTATCCTGTAAGTCATGAAGGTGGAAAGATAGATTACTTATTAAATATATTAAAACAATTGAGTATCCATTTGGAAATTAAAAGATGCCTATACCATGACTTTAAAACAAGATTAATTTCTGATGGAATTTATTATTTCTAAATGAAAAAAACCCATAAAAATTATTAGAAGACACTACAGCATTTTTAGAATCTTTTAGTACAGAAATTATTTCTAGGCATTGATTCATGAGTCAGAAATCATAAAGGAAATACTGTTGGATTATAACACATTAAATTAAAATCTAACACGCAGCCCAGCACTCTGTGTTAATTAAAGATGTGAAGAAACAGTCTCTTTCGTATACTGCTTGGGGGAATGGTAATCTCACACACTTTCTGGAAGGCATTTTTGCAGTGTACTTTAGAAGTCTAAAATTTCATATATACTTTAGTTGCTTCCATATCTCTTTAGAAATTCTTTCAAGATAATAATGCCTGTAGTGTGCAGAAGCGCACAAAGTATGTTAACCACAGCTTTGTTCATAACCTCAAAAAACCTGAAAGCAATGAAAATGTCCAACATAAGAGTCTTTTTATACAAATCGTGTTACATCTATTAAATAAAATGTGATGGATTCATTAAAATAATATATATTTATACCTACGGATATGGAGAGAGGTGAAGAAGCACTTAAAAATAGGATACATGTGATAGGATTCTATTTTGCTTGAATGTGTATGTCTGTGTGTGTGTGTGTGTGTGTGTGTGTACACATGTGAGTCTATCTGAGTATATTTGAAGAATATTTAGGTAAAGTAAAAGACGATTTCTGGATATTAGGTTATAAGTGATTTTTACTTCTTTATATTGAGTGAATCAATCTCCACTCTACAGAGAGGACTGGAAAGACCCTGTTTTAGTGAGCTATATCATGAGTCCAGACACCTGGTAAGTCTGTCCGTTTTTTTCCATTATGTTTTTCTATTTTTCATTCATTTAATAACCATTAAGCACTTATCAGGTACTAATAAGTCATCTTTCAAATTCCCCATCTATACACAATGTTAAGTAGTATAGAAAAAGATGGCTCTGCTTTTTTCATAGTGAGAAATTCAGAATGTTTCAGAAAGGAACTGATATTTAAGTTCATTAATTTTCATTCAAAAAATATTTATTGAGCTCATTTGCCACATGGCAGAACTGTACTTTATGCTTGCAACAAATCCTTGAACATTATGAACAAGAAAGCAAAAATAGTACTCTTGCTCTCATGACATATGACTTTAGAGATGGTGATGGTTTCATCAAACAGAAAAAGAGGGTGAAAAAGGTATTCCAAGTGAGAAAAAAAACCAATGAAAGAGCACAAAGACATATTAGTGCTTGGCCTGTGGGGTAGGAAGGTTATGTCCGTTTGCGCTCATTGTTAACCTTCTTTCCTTCCTCTGCCTAAAACCATTTTCTCTTACTTAATCTGTAAAATGCCTACATATCTATCCTTCAAGATTTATCTATTTCCAGATAAATCCCCAGACTTTCCCCACAGAAGCCACCCAAGGCTAAGTTAGGTGATTCTTCTCTTACATAGAATCTATTCCATGATTATCCATTTATGTGCCTCTTAACTGGACTCTGAGGTCTTTAAGGAAGGAACTCTGGGTTTTATTGCTTTATCTCAAATGCCAAGCGCTGCACTAGACACATGGTTTATTCCACAGTAAATATGTTTGAATAAGTACTACACCTCATTCCCATAGAACAGGATTTCTCAGCTTTGACATATTGACATTTTGAGCCAGCTAATTCTTTGTGTGGAGATCTTGCGAATTGTAGGATGTTTAGCAGGGAACCTAGATGCTAGTATGCAACTAGATGCCAGTGGTACCTCCTCCTGCCCCTAGTTATAGTTGGAGGAAGTCCATCAAGAGGATGTGACCACTGGTTGACCCGTGAGCTGCACAGGAGCGATGGGCTAGCTGAGGCCCCTCAGGTGGGCCCCTGTCTTTGGAATGTACTTCCATCCTCAGCAGGTTTTCACAGCCAGAAGCGTTAGTTTTCAAGGCTGCAACCTCGACCGAGCAACGTGGGCAGTACACTGACTGAACCCAGGTAAGGCCTCTTTATACTTTTAAGATTTCGTAGTGCCAGGCGCCTGGGTGGCTCAGTCGTTAAGCGTCTGCCTTCGGCTCAGGTCATGATCCCAGGGTCCTGGGATCGAGTCCCACAGTGGGCTCCCTGCTTGGCGGGAAGCCTGCTTCTCCCTCTCCCATTCTCCCTGCTTGTGTTCCCTCTCTCGTTGTTAAAAAATAAACAAAAAATCTTTAAAAAAAATAAAAAAAAAAGATTTCGTAGCACCGCCGCCCAGACAAGCCTTGCGCTTATTCCCTTGCTTATTAAACCTCTTTCTCCCGTCTCCCTTTGCCAGCTGTGTCTGGGGGCCTGTTTCAGATTTCACTGGGGAAGCTACCGAGGATTCAAACCAATAGTTATGACAACCAAAAATGTCTCCATACATAGCAAAGTGTCCCCTGGGGTCAGAATGATTCCCAGCTGTACCCCTGAGAACCACCACTGCCCTAGAACTATGAAAATCACGTTGCAATGAGAACAAGGTGGAAATGGGGAAGTCTGGGACAGGACTTTAGAGTTACTTCAAGTCATTTTTCAGAGGCATTTAATTTTTGTTGACTCCAAGCATTCCTAGCTCTATACAAATTGTTGACTCAAATCCTATACTCATTCTGGTGGGTGGTGGTGGTGGGGGGGTGGTCACAAGAGATGTCTGAACTTGACCCACCTGCAGCTCAAATCCCTGGTGTTACTGCAAGCTTGTTTTGTTTCTTTTCTCAAAGGAAAGGAGAAGGACTTTAAGATACCGATGTTATCCAACAATCTAGAACTTTTTTTCAAGAAATTTTAAACACACTGTAAGACAAAACTCCTAAACCAGGAAAGGACGGCCCTTCCACCTCCTTTTATGTACGTACGTATGTATGTATGTATGTATGTATGTATGTATGTATGTATTTACTACTAACAAGACACATTCAGTGCAGCCAGAGAAATTTTATACATAGGTAGCTAAATAATGAGCCTTAGAAACATAACATAATTCTTAGAGTTATCAGAAACTTTAATGTATAAATTCTTTTTCGTGGATGCAGTGTCTGACCCCCATTTTCTCTATTTTTGAATGTGAAATGACTCATATTTTAAAAAAGCATGTATATGTACATGTATATTGTTGAGAGATAGGAATAAAATAAATACGTATCCATGCAACTGGTGCCCAGCTGACTGACATTTCTTATTGTTTGGCTATTTTACTTTTTGCCTTTTCGAAGAGTATATAAAGATGTTTCCCTTTAAAAAATTTCATTTTCCTGATCATCTTTATTGTTTCACCATTAGTTTTACCGTTGATTCTCTTAAGATTTCCAAGGATTCTCTGCTGTCATCAGTAAATGGATACTTTATGTTGTTCTTATCCAATCCTTATTTTTTTTTTAAAGATTTTATTTATTTATTTGACAGAGAGAGAGAGAGCGAGAGCAGGAACACAAGCAGGGGGAGTGGGAGAGGGAGAAGCAGGCTTCCCACGGAGCAGGGAGCCCGATGCGGAGCTCGATCCCAGGACCCTGGGATCATGACCTGAGCCGAAGGCAGACGCTTAACGACTGAGCCACCCAGGCGCCCTATCCAATCCTTATTGTTTGGGTTTTCCCAAACAATATTAAATAATCCAAGAATTATTTAATAGAAATTTTAAAAATATATATGTTTGCAGGTAGAACAGTCTGTTATTTAAATTTTAAAGTTCAAGTTTTACTGCACAGCAATCAGTGTTGCTTCCATTATTTCTGTTTTATGGAACTTGCTCATGTTTTCTATTTGACCTAATACATAATTACTTTTTGCGAATGATTCATGTACACTTTAAAAAGTGGTATATTCTATTATAGTATTATGTTCAATATTAGTACATAAAATCTACCTTATGCTGTACAGATCTTCAACACTTATTTTTCATCCATTTGACTTGCCTTATACTGAGACTGGTACATTAAAGTCTTTTATTATTAGGTACTTACTTGTTCTTGCATCTTCTGTAGTATTTGCTTTTGAACATGGTTGCTCTTTTATTTGGTATATTGATATTCATAGCTATTACATCTTTATTGTGAGTTTTGGCTTTAGCATTATAGAGTATTTTTGATACTTTTTGGCCCAATTTCTACTTTTTTTTAAATATCCATACTGATGTGGGAAACAAAGGCAACTGGTGATGTTGGAGGAAATGTAGATAAAATTAAATGTCCTCATAACCTGCTGCCTATTGACAAATACTTGAGACAGGCAGAGTATAGCATTTCTCCAGGAAGCACCCAACTTGTCTTAATGTTAATCCCCTGCTAGAGGGAAAAACAACCTTGGTTTGACAATAGCAAGGCCTCCAGTATCTGGTGAGTCTTCTTTACATATGAAAATCCTTTTGGAACTTCCCTTATCTTTACTCCCCCTCCCCCCAAAGTATAGAATCAGTTGCCCCTCACAATCCGGGGGCAGCCGGGAGCAGAGGTAGCAACAGCCTCTGCCATACCTCTTTCTGCCCCCGGTTCCTGTCCCCGTGCTTTAATAAAACCACCATTTCACACTGAAGATGTCTCAAGAATTCTTTTTGGGCCGTTGACTCTGGACCCCACCACCAAACCTCATATATAATAAAAAGTACATTGAATATCACACTTCCTGCTTTCTCATAGTTTTGTTTTCCTGATATATCTTTTCCCACACCTCTAATTTCAACCTTTGGAATCACTGTATGTGAGGTGGGCCCCTTGCATAGAACCATAGAGTTGATATTTGCTTCATGAGCCAATTAGGAATATTTTTCTTGTAATGGATGAGTCAAGCCCATTCACAGTTTTTGATGTGGCTAATATACTGGTATCAATTCTGTGTATAATTTTATGTAATAGTTACCATGTTAATTTTGTTATATATGCTATGTTTCTCTGATATATCTCTGCTTTTATAAAAAGATCATTTTGGTATTTTTGAACATTGGTATTTTTATTTAGAGGTTTCTCTTATATTTACACATTTTTTTTGCACTTGAGAACATTTTTATAAAAAACCTTTTACTCTGTGGACTGTCAATCTTTTTATTTATTTATTTATTTATTTATTTTTATTCTTATGTTAATCCCCATACATTACATCATTAGTTTTAGATAAAGTGTTCCATGATTCATTGTTTGTGCATAACACCCAGTGCTCCATGCA